TTATTTTAAATGATACTGTTTTAAATAAAAATGTTGTAGTTTTATAAATATATTCATTGAGACATAAAATACATAGTAACATAATACTCAATATTATCCTTTTACAATGACATGAATAAGTTCTTTGACAGTGGCAAATATGCTATTTTTCATATTCTGCCTCAAAATTGTATATTTGTTCATTTTCACCCATACAACTTCAACCTAATGTAACATTTCTCTATTTTTTAATAATTATTCTTTAATAATATTACTTTTTTATGATGGTTTTCACCATCTAAGCTGCTATTTTTAAAAGATACATATTTTATTGATTTCAGAGGGGGAGGGAGAAGGAGAGAGACAGAAACATCAATGATAAGAAAGAATAATTGATCAGCTGCCTCCTGCACACCTCACACTAAAGATTGAGCCTGCAACTCAGGCATGTGTCCTGACCAGGAATCCAACTGTGACACCTCCTGGTTCATAGGTCAATGCTCAACCACTGAGCCTTGCTGGCTGGGCTAAGCTGCTATTAGTGTGTATGTAACTATGTGCCCATTATGTGTGTGTATGTGAGTGTGTGTGTGTGTGTGTGAGTTTCCCTCTCGAATTCCCACCATATTCTAGAATGTAAGCATCTAGAGGGCAGAGGTCCATTTTGTTCGCTGGCATGTTCTAAGCACATAAAGAGGATCTGGCACATAATAAATGCTTTTGAATAGGTGAAGGAAAGAATAAATGAATGAGTGAATGACAGGAATAGGGAGTGCTCGTGAGGAGGAATAGGTTTCAATTACAATTCAGTGATGAAAGAACACCTCCCAAAGGAGGTCACATGGATATAATATTCTGAAAGAGGCAGTTATCTGGGGGAAGGGCATTCCAGCAGTGGGAACAGCACCAGCAAAGCTCTTCCTTTGGAAGTGTCATGGCTGGAAAGTTGTGAAAAGCTCCCAGAAATCCAGGGTGGATAGAAAAGAAGGACTAAAGAGAAGAGAGAATTAGAACAGAGATAACAGATCCTAATTGGATAATGAATTAGTGAAGATGTTGAGGATAATGAGATGAAGGAAGGAAGAGGTGTTGCAGAATGTTTAATCTGAATGCAGCTTTGTCTTTCCTTCCTCCTCCTGATTTACAGACAACAGAACCCACATAGAGTTTAAGTAATTTCATCAAGGTACCACCACAAACCAAGTGAGGAATGGGACGAAATCTTAGTGACCAGACTCACATGCATCTGTCCTACTCCACTGACAGGCCTTGAAGCCCCAAAGGGAAAGCAATGGCTTGCCAACCTCTATCTCTTTGTAGATTATATTCTCCAGATTACTTCAGTTTAATACTTTCCTTAAATATCAAATTTCTTCTTTTTCTTTTGGGGGAGAGGGGAGGGTAGAAGTGTAAAAATAAAGTAGTATGATTTTATACAATATTTTAACATTTTAAAAATTGTGTAGAAAATAACACCTTTCTATCTATAATTTTCCTTTTTCATAACTGAAGTCTCAGCTCCTGGACAAATACCACTGACATTCCAAGGAGGGTGATGTATAATATTGTCAAATTTTTCATATAGGTAAATTTGATGGTTTAATACTGAATTATGCAAAACAAGAAGCAGTTGGTTTAAATTAAACTTTACAATGAAATAGTAAATTATCAGAATATCTGAATAATGAAATGGAAATTTAAATAAAAAAGCATATGCATGAAAAAGAAGAGTTCAATCAAAATGGGTTTGCTTTAAAAAATGAGTGTATGTAATCTCTCAACACTACTTTTGTATGAACATTGAAGATGCAATTGCCCATTATTTATTGTATGCATTTAATGAATATTTTATAAGGTCTGGGCAAGCACTACATTTACATAGGGTATGGCCACTAATAAAGGAGAAAGGCCTTAGATATAAAATCCATCAGGTTTTTCCTGATATTATCTGCAGCTTAAATGTTAAGTAAATGCTCATTTCGGTAGGGGTAAATAGTATTCCTGTTTGTTAACAAGGGTCATGCACTAACTGTAATACTTTTAAAAATTGAAAAGGCAGAGGCTGGGTCCATCAAATATCTTTTATTTTCATCCCTAATTAGTTTTGTTAAAATTACAGTACATGACTCAAATCTATGACTACCTTCTAATCTATGAATGCCTTCTCTACTTGTATTTCTTTCTGCACTTTCTCTGTATCCATAAAGACAATGAAAGACAAACAGACATAAAGAAAAGCATTTACATGCATGGAGCATGACAAAACTCCTAACACTATTTCTTACCCCAGATTTTTTGTGATGGCCACAAAGTTGACCTAAAATTTTTTAAGTCATCTTACCCATCACTTTAGACATATTCTTAGGTAGAGAATTAATTTTTAAATCTATCAAATTATACATAGATTTCCACTCTGTTGATTGCTATAACTTAAAAAGTTTAAACAAGTATGATCTTTTGTAATACCTTTTTGAGGTGCTCAGCAAACTTAAAAAATGCTTTATTTTATAAATTTCAAGGATGTAAGCCTATACATCACAAAATGAATAAAAGTTAGTCTCCAGTTAGGTTGCTCGTATTTAGCAGAAGTCTTATCATTAACTTTATAGATATTTAGGAGACATTTTTAAAAACTGGTTTGTTTTACATGATATCTCTGGAAAAAGAAATGGTCCTGAGATGTCCTATCAGGCATCCGCTTTATAAAAACACAAAAGAAACTCTTACAAATCAAAGTTTCTAAAATTATCTTTGAAGTTCTGGAACAAGGCTCAGCTGGCTCTCTCTTCTTTGGTTTTGTCTCAGTGGTAGATCAGAAGATTTGAGAATTGAAGGGCTTTTTCAATTATACAATAAGCAGCAGGTTTCCATTAAAGCACAAAGTCATCATCTAAATGTATGCTAGGTGTTCTTATAAATAAGTATAACAGGTAGATCTTTGACTGATTCATTTATTTCTGATATTAGTTGTGTGCTTCTGAAGTCTAATGTAAAATATATTTATCAGTTAGTAAAATGCTTATTTATTTTTCTTGTGTGTTCCAAACTTCTTCAGCCTTCCAAATGTTTTCCTAAGCTTATGGTAATTAACTTAGCCCATAATTATACACAATGTTTTCTAACCCTTCTTGGTAGCGTCCATGACTATCAAGAATTTCAATGTGTTGATTGAGTAGTATGACATTGGTGCAGAGATGTGGATCATTACTAGCATTGTTAAGGAAAATCACAGCTGGACAGTAATTAAAACATTCAAATTATACTTATATAGGAACTATTGCAATGGGGGAAAGAGAACTCAGTTTAGAACTGGTCTCAGTTCCAACTGCAGCAGGGACCACTGGGAATTTAAAGCCAAGAGGCAGGTTGGGGGTCAGTGGATGGAAAATTACTAAGAGGAAATAACAGGTGTAGGAGGAATTCTGGTTAATTGGACTTAGTAGGATATTTCCTGAAGGTAGGCCAGGTAAACAGAGGACACTAAAGGGAGATTGGGGAATGCTACCTCTGGTGATGAGATATCTAGTGTGGGGAATTCACTCTAACCTGACTCAGCAGGATTCTTGCTAAACTGGGTGAAGCAGAGATGAACACAGAACCTAAAGTCAAGACCTTGTTCAGAGGAAGGTTTAGAGGAACCTGACTCAAGTTTGGTTAAGGAGAGAGTCTCTCTCTCTCTCTCTAAAAGGAAGAGAACTATTATATACTAACTTATTTCCAAGTTTGTTTCTTTACTTCAGAATGCCCTTATCTCCTAGTAATGAAATTTTACCCAAGGGAACTTTACAAAAAAAACATTGAAAATGTATCACAAATGTATATATTTAAGAAGAATGTGGAGAATTTAGAGGATATACCAAAAAAGTAATGAAAATTAATAAAATGTTCTAAATAACATGAATTAGGCAAAATAAAATGACTTAAACACTTCCAACTGTGAACAGCTAGAGATAATAACTCATATAACATATATATATATATATAAAAGCCTAAGTGATTGTCACAACCAAAATAACTGAATGGATGACCCAACAGGCTGCGTGGGGCGACCAGGCCAGCAGGGGGGTTAGTGAGGGCCGACCAAATGACTGAGCAGCAGGCTGTGTGGGGTGACCAGGCCAGCAGGAGGGGGCAGTTGGGGGTGACCAGGCCAGCAGGAGGGGGCAGTGAGGGGTGACCAGGCTGGCAGGGTGGCAGTTGAGGGTGATCAGGCCAGCAAGGGGTGGGGGGCAGTAAGAGGCAGGCAGGCAGGTGAGCAGTTAGGAGCCAGTGGTCCCGGATTGTGAGAGGGATGTCTGACTGCCGGTTGAGGCCCGATTCTGGGCCTCAACCGGCAGTCGGACATCCCCCTATAGGACCCGGATTGGAGAGGGTGCAGGCTGGGATGAGGGGACACCCCCCCACACACACGAATTTCGTGCACTAGACCTCTAGTACTTAATAACTAATACAGACTTCAGAGATGTTTTTGTTTTAAAGATGCGGAAGCTAAGTCCCAGAAAATGTATACGATCTTTAGTAAAAAGATCTATAACTGCCCTGACCGGTATGGCTCAGTGGATAGAGCGTCGGCCTGCGGACTAAAGGGTCCCAGGTTCAATTCCGGTCAAGGGCATGTATCTTGGTTGCGGGCACATCCCCAGTAGGGGGTGTGCAGGAGGCAGCTGGTCGATGTGTCTAACTCTTTATCCCTCTTCCTTCCTCTCTGAAATCAATTTAAAAATATATTTTTTAAAAAGAGCCTTATTTTTACTTCAGTGCAAGATTGTTGAAATACACTTCAAATTTGGACATATTTATTCCAGAGAATTATCTGGCATTGTTTTTCACTCTAGATACACTTTTTTCTTAAAGAACTTTCTCTTATTATCATCATTTTTGTGGTAATGTTGTGTAATTAGTCACCCTCAGAAATAAATTGCTCACTAGAACCTATTAACAAATTGATGGGAGTACCATGGTGACTATCATATTGAAGAATTGGTGAATTTTTATTAAATTGAATTTATTTTTTTTTCCAGCAATGACAATGCAGTTTATTAGCCATCAGTTCCCTGATTACCATGATCCCACTATTGGTGAGTAAAACATTCTTTTCTCCTTTAGCTCAAATAAAGATACTCTAAATAAATGGCTTACAAATATTGTTGATATCAGTGGAGAATAAGAAATATATTTTATACCATGACTCAGCACATACACACATTAATATATAATATGTAAGCCACCAAAATTATAGCTTCAAGAAACAATATTTGTCTTTACTTCTTGCCATGCATTCTCATCTTTTCCATTCTATTCCATTTCTTTTTGATAAATGATGGTTGGAATACATTAACTTTATTTTGATTTCAGAATCCACTAATGGATATCTACTGCATTTAAAAAACTGTGCTCTGGATAATAAAACTGATATGGTTGTGTGCTTTTTATTTGGTCATTTTCTCACTTTATCAGTGTCTAGATCTCGTAGTACACAAGTAGTTTACCATGCTAATGGTGCATTTGGAAAGAACTCGAGGTATAGATGTAATTTTGTTTACCCTCCTCATTTTGCAGATGAAGAAACTGAGACTCAAAGAGTCAAATTATTGTTAGATTCAAAAAATCCAGTCATGTTTCATTCTTCCATGCAATTTTCTTTTTATCACATCAAGTGCAGGAACATCGCAATTGGGAACACCTTTTCTTCCTCAATCAAAGCAGAAAATATGTCTGAAAACTGCTTTACTAATCATTCAAAGAGCCACTTTAAAGAATCAGTTGAAAATTTCCAAGCACAATCTGTCATAGAATTCTTTGTCTAGAAATGCATTGGTATTGAACACATACCAAGCATTATGTCATGGCAGAGAAAAACAAATAGCTTCTGGACCCCTCATGGTTTAGATTGTGAGTTCCTTTGACTACTCCTCACCCTTTCACCCTTTTACTTTAGTTGGTCTGAATATCTCCTACCCTTACAATGGTGTGATCCTCATTTAGCAATTTTAATTCAAAATCTTACTGTGTATGTAAAATGCTATTCTGTAAATAATTATCTTGTATATCTTCCTGCAAATCTTCCAGGATATTTGCTTGAATACTACTGCTGAAATAAATGAAATGTACTCATTTTTAAATGTCCCATGATTTAGCAAGACCTCTTCATCAGTTGAACTGAATTAGTAAAATTTAAGTGCAAGCAATTAATATGCTGTTCATCAGAAAGCACTTCCTCAAAGAGTTGACTTTTGTTTCTGAAGCAAAAATAATCACTTTGTAAAGTTTTAGAAGCGATTAGCTACAGCCCATGTTTGATAATCCTCTAAATCCATTTTCTTATTATCTCAATTCTGGAATGTTGATAACTTTGCATACCTATTATGATTTATAGAAGACAAGAAATCTCTGGGCAAATGCTCTGAATCTTTTATTGTGTTGGAAAATTCAACTGTATATCATTTATGAAATCACAAATCACTCTGTTCATCATTTTCCATCATTGTTTAAGCTTTATATGCACTGGTATTTCAAAAACCTACCTTTTGCTCGCTAGACTCTCATGTCAATGGCTTGCATAGGGCAATATATGTGAATACACATAAATATCTCTTTCAAGAGGAATAAAGAAGAAGAATATAATGATGATTTCTTTAGATATCCATGAGGCACATCCATCACTTGAGATTCCATACTCACAAAGGGCTGAAGTCATATCTTAACATAGCTCTAAGTAAAATAGTTTTAGAAGTTTGAAAATGGAGACAGAGCACTTTATTACCTTAAATTCTATTTTCCCATCATTTCATTTCTTGGCATCTCTGATGGAAATAGAGGTTAAGAATTTTCCATTGGTATCCTGTTTCAGGAATGTGAAAGTCCCAAATAACTTACTTTTCTCCTGCTCAAGCTACATAACTATAACTCAGCATGGCTGACTTAATGGCCCCTCAAGAGGAATTTCCTATTACTACATTTTGAAAATAATACAAATTAGAGAATACACCTATCAAGGATACTTATTTCATGATTTATATAATAAATGACTATTTTTCAATTCCTGTTCAGATCTGTTTGTCATCCTACTGAGTGAGACTTTGAATAGTTTTTCTCTGAAATCTTTGAAAGATTTGTATGGTTTTATTATCTCTCTAGATTCAGCTTACAATTATTTTTCTTTCAAATCTACATAAATTCAAAAAATATAGTTTTCCTTTAGCCTTGAGAAGAATTAGGCATATCATCTGGTACCAATATTCTTTCCAAAGAAGTAATTGCTCCCCTTAAGTAGGAGCAACATTTTCAGTCAGTAACCAATGGGTCTAGCTTCTGCAAATCCACAGAAAATACCTACAAAGGGAATATTGAAAGGTGTTCATTCTATTATTCCATGTGATGAAATGTCACTTAAAAATTAAATTAAGTTCATGCTAAAGGTATTAAATATGAATAAATTCAAGGTTTAATTTAATCTTTAAAATATCCTATTTCTAAGTATTAAAAATTGTGTTAAGTACACTTTGCTTTTTCTATAGTAAAATAATTATGGAAATAAAAAAAAATTTACCAAAGGCCTTGATGTCCAACCTTTCATACTAATAAACACACGTGTCATTTTTAATTAACAGTAAATCATTGGAGGTAAGCATTGTATGCAATTCAATTAGCAAACAATATTTAAATGCCTGGTATTTACAAAGGAATCTGTTTATCCTCTAGAACTAAATTAGCCTTTGAGGCATTTTTATTGCAGGAAGAGGACTTAAAACAAATATACAAATATTCATATCTTTGAAGTCAGTTATTACTATAAGAAAGAAGCAAACTGTTATGGAGTTTTGAAAGAATGGAGAGACAGTTTAGTGACCCTCTCTTAAGCTTTATTTACTGTGATTTAGGATCACAGCTTCCTATATGTTTTAAAAGCTAAGAAATTCTGGCTCTCTAGTCTAGAATTCAAGATTCTTTGGGAAGAATTTTCAGAAAAGTTTGGACTTCTTAAAGACCTTTGAGACAATGACCGAGAGAAGTTTGTTTTGCTATATCCTTTTAATCATATTGTAACTTGCTTGAAATTAGAAATCTTATTGTATATAATTCTAATTTAATATGAATTAGATTTCAAGGAGTTGATATTTTCTGCTATAGAATATGGTGTCCCTTTCCCCAGGTTCTAATTTGTGGACTACATATTTAATTCAAATTATTATTTATTAATACCTTCTTTCATTGAGAATTATTTCTGTTCATGTTCACTGATAATCAAATGAATGCAAACATAGAAAGTAAGCATATAAAACCAGGTCACTCCACTTGGCAAATTACTACAGAAGGAAACAAGGTATGATCTCAAATAGCATGTTCTGAGTAATACTTGATGAGCACTAATACTTGATGAAAAATTCTGAACCATGAAGGATGTGCATGGTTACAGAGCATTATAACTTTGATTACATCATGTGTGTAATTGGTGTTTATCTCTCACTCTTCTCAAACCATTACTGTTGCCCCCTTCCTTCACAAACCTATGCAACTTTACATTCACCTACTATGTGCTAGTTCCCATGCTACACACCAGATATATAAAAATAAAAACACAATCTGTGACTTCAGTACACTTCAGGTTGGTTTGGAAAATTAATAAGTATACAAGACCATGTGATGCGTTCAATGGGAAAAAAAGCACAAGAAGCTGAAGGAGGACAATGAAGGCACATCTTGCACGACCTGAAGGGACATGAAGTACATGTAGAAGAGATGTCCTCTGCACTGAGTTTTGAAGGATGCACAGGAATTAGGCAAGTGAAGAGGAAGTAAGAATAGATATTCTCAGAAGAACAAAAAATATAGGCACCCAAGTAAGACAATGCAACATGTAACTAAGATGGAAAATTTGGGGAACCGGAAGTCCTAAGGATGAAATAAATGACACAATGTGCAGGTTGGCAAGAGGAAGGAAAAGATTTGCCAGATCTTTAAAGAGTGTATAGGACCAGCTAAGGGTTTAGATAGAGGTAGTTCTGTACTTTTCTCTGAGATAAAAATGAATATTGCTGGCAGCCTATTTAACTTTCACATTTAGATAGATCCAAGGCAGACAAAAGTGAACATGCCCCGACTTTAAATAATAACTGGTTATCCCTACTAGACTTTACTTCCTTCAGGGGCCAGGTGGGTGCTTGAAGCATCATGGGGCCACTTTGTAAAGTATATGACTTTCTAACCACTTTGCTGCGCATCTGAAATTCATACAGAATGATACTGAATGCAAATTGTAATTGAAAAAGGGCTTTATCATGGTAAAGCCCTTAATTTACCAGGATCTCATGCCAGAAACTCAAGAGAAGTCCTTGATAGCTATTTCAACTTCTATATTACGTCATTCATCAAACTTTGTTGTTTCTACCATCTAAAAATATCTTGAATCTGTCCCCAACTTCCCCTAATTTTTTCTGCCTTCTTATTCTAAGCCACCTCCATTTCCAGTTTGGACTGGTTTTTCTAATTGGTTTTTACACAGGGTCCAGAAATATCTGTATACACACAAATTTGCACTGCTAAACAGTTCCCAATGTTAACAGAATAAAATTCTAATTATATAGTGAAAATTCTCATGGTCTCGTTACTTTCATTTTCACACTTGCTACCCACCACCCCTTTTGGGTGGCTTCAACTACATCTGCCTTCTTTTAGATTCACAAACTAGCCAAGCCCCTTTCTGCCTTAGGACATTTTTGCACCTATTGTAACTCTGAATGCTCTTTACCTCTCCACCCTCCATTTTGCCTGTTTAACTTGTACTTTGATCAAATTTCAGCTTAAATATTACTTCCTCAAAAAGTCCCTTTGAGAGTAGTGTTATCAGTGAAATAAGTCAGACAGAGAAAGACAAATACCATATGATTTTATGTATATGTGGAATCTAAAACAAAATAAACAAACCAAATAGAAACAGACAACAGACGAACAGTTGGGAATGTAGGAGGACTGCATGAAAAACATGACAGTATTGAGCAGTATGAATTGGTAGTCATAGAATAGTCACAGAGATGAAGATTACAGTATAGGGAATATAGTCAATAATATTGTGATAGCT